GATATACCATTATTTAATTTACTCGCCAAACAATGGCTTTTGTTTCCTGAGCTCATTAAATTCTAGCACGAACTTCACAAAGTGGGTCAAAACCAGACATGAGACATATGTCTTATACATAAAAGGTCTATTGGAAGCAATATTTGGCATCAGGTGAACAAGACTAGCTTAGTCTGCTTGTCGCTGGTGTTAGTGACATTCTCTGAGAGACACTTAGCAAACAAAACCTCGCGTTTACTGTAACGCTTCCTCCATACCTTTAGCACTGTTAAGTGGCGAACTAACTTTTATTATTTACTCAATCCTTTGTTTCAACACTTTTAAAATTCTACTCAAATTTTCTTATATACGGATTCGTTGAATATGATCATGATTTGTGAATATTGAAGCAAAAGCCTTTTCTACTCGAAGGTTCATCTCTAACATAATCTTYTTTGCCGGTATTTAATTGATGATTTGACTTTGAAGAATTTTCGTCAATGCGTTACATTCCGTTTGACAAACCGATTTTTCACCCCCAAAAATAAGTAATAATAGTACAATTACTATATTTCACCTATTTATTATAATTATTATAGTAGTCATATGGTAGGAGTTTTTCAAAAAGTTGACTGTGAATCACACGTGAAACAACAATGGTTCACATCTCAATGGCGACGCTTGTAAAATAAAGGAACAAAAACTAAAATAACAATGAAATTTGTCTTGTTTGGTGAACCATGATGAGTTTCTTACCAGCTTTGTGTTATCTAGGGCATTCATATTAGAACATTGCAACTAAATGGTGGACATGGCGCGCAAGGCATGAGTGGATAAAATGACCAGCCCTCGGCATCTTTAACTACCTTAAAACCGCAGTGGTGCATATATCCTTCTCATATTAAATGGCTGATGAACGCATGGAAACGAGGTCACCCAGTCATCTTGCAAGGTTGAGCCAAGCTGCTCATTCAAAATAAAGGCTGTTAGTGCTAATTCAGATCAAAACAAAGGTCATTTTTTTATACTTTCCTTCTTTAAAGTCATTTCATGTAATTTTATATCTTTTATCGTGAAATAATGACTGGGTGACCGCGTTTTCGTGCACTTGTCAGCCATTATGAGAAGGGTGTATACCAGTTACTCACCGTAAAAATGAGTATGGTCACATTGCTCCTGTACTCTGATGTTACTTTATCCTTAAAGTTTGCCATCCATTTTTCACCGACCATCTGCTTGTTTGCTTACTTGTTTGCTTTGTTTGTTTACTGGCATGATTGTTTTCTTGTTTGCTTTTTGACTTGTTTGTTTACTTGAATGCTTACTTGTTTGCTTGTTTACTTGCATACTTGTTTGTTTGTTGCTCGTTTGCTATCTATACCTGCTTGCRTCAGGGTCTTAACTGATGAAGTGACATAGCTACCTCTTAAAAGATATCACGAGCTGCCGCTCTTGACATTACTTTTGTACTCTGTTTTCCGCATGCGCAGTATTACCTTTCCTGTATAAGTACAAAAGCTCATCAGTTTCAAGACAGGGTTTGAAGACCCAGACAACTTGTTGCATTTCAAGACGTAGTGTTTCAGATTGCGTCAGTTAGTTTGCCAAAGAGATGTAGTTTTGCCACGCTAAGAAGGCTATCTTATTGTGATCCCCAAGCCCCGCCCCAAGCCCAGATTCTCCTTGGGTTGTTTTGGAGTGTGACAAAGTTAAAATATGAAAAATATATAATGATTAAAAAATGACTACAGAATGAATATTACTTTGAATTTTTAATGATTTAGCAAGATTACAAGCTAACCACATTTGAATGGTTGATTATACTAAGTGAAGCCAAACGGCTTAAACAATTTACGAATAGATACCAGTGGATGGAATCACTAATATTATCTAATATTATCTAAAGGTTACTTATATATTTTTAACAAACTACCCACCAAGAAAAACATCATCATAAAAACGAAGCAAATTTTAATTCTTTTAAGCTTTAATATTTCTATAAATAAACTAATTTATAATTTTCTTAAACAAATGTATTTTTGAATCTTTATTATCTTATGTTAAGATTTTTGAAAACAGTTGGCTTGAAAAGGAACGACATTCATGGCTTTTTTAGCAATGAATATATCTCAAAACCTGTCCGATTCATGTCTTCTGACATGGACCAAGAAGTACAAGTGGTATTTGACTTAAATAAATATTATATATATATATATGTAGAGACATCTACATCTTTTATAGATATAGGTTGCAATCATTGAAAGAATGCGTTACATAATATGCTCGCGTGACGTGTGGTCACGCTTCCGTTATGCAACAACCATATTAGTCATGTGTATTCAAATCTGGCTTCAGAGTCTTACTTAAATTACATAATATTCAGATCGAATCAATAAGAGGAGCTGTAAGAAAAATACAATTACATTTTAAAAAGCTAAGATATAACGCTTATTCTGATTGGTCAAAAGGTTGCAAGAAGGATTTCAGTTGGACAAAGCTCATAGTTTCACGTTATTGCTTCAAGAAGGTTAAAAAATGAAATATAAACGGCCGCTTTGTCCTTAGACTGCAGGAAGAATAAACGCGTAATCTGAAACTGAGCCGGAAAAGCGGATAAGTTCGCTCCAATTAGGAAGGACACTTGCATTATGGTGTTAGTATAGTAACCACAACAAGCAGAATCCTTTGCAGACTTTCTTTTGTTCAGTTACTATCTCACGATGAAATTCGCAAAGCATTTCGGTAGTCGTAGTCAAATGACGTCATCATGCAAACATCCTAGTATATTGTATTCCTAAACTTTAGCTTTGAATGCGCTCTGTGTGTAGATAATACGACAGATTATGTTTTGAAGCTAAGACCTCCAAGCCGATTCTCAATAACATTTAAGTTTGAACATAACTATATTATATAATATATTTCGATGATTCAGCTATTCTGAGCCAGTTCAAAAAGATTTTTAGACTTTACCTTTCTTAACTCACTAGGAGAGAAAGGCATACTACGAAAGAGAAGTTATTCATCGCTTTAACAAAAAAAAATACGACGAATCGAAATAGTAACGTTTGTACAGTTAAGTCAGACCAGGTTAAAATTTAAACGTCGAATTTCACGTGCCGAATTCAATCACTCCAAATGAATTTAAACAGTAGGATCTGCTTATTTGCACTACATTCGGCACGTGTACATGTAAAATTCGCCGTTTTAACTTGGCCTTGTTGGGCATTTTTGGCTCATATCGAGCGAACGAAGAATGTTATTTAAGTTTTGTAAGTTTGAACGAAGGGATTAAGCTAGCTTTAAATTAACAAAACCTCCACAAGTCAAGGCTCATAAATGTTGCACATCATCTCGGATATGTCACTCTAGCACAAAATGTCTGATTCTAGAGAGATTTCGTATGAGTGCGAAAAAGGCACATTTTGAACGTACCGTGTCGTGTCCAAGCATTCCGATTGGATAATCAGGAGATGCTCAACTGATAACGTCATTACTGTAACAGTACCGTCCATATTCACTGTTATGCAATTTCTCCCCTAAATATACATATATATATATATAGATATATATATAGATATATATATAGCTTATATATTAAATTATTGGTGATGCCCACCATGGTCTGTAACGTGTGCATCCATATTGTGTAGTTCCGAACTTGTACGAGTCTCTGTTGGTAAGCTTCCTACCATACTTGGCGTCGATATTCCAGCAGGGAACCCATATCCCTGACTAGCACTAAAGGCAGGATACCCTCCTTGACTTCCCTGATAACCAGTAAAAACAGCCTGAGGAATAGTGCATGCTGGGTATACATGACCATGCGTATGCGCATGCGTGGGAATGAAGCCTGATGGTACGCTGTTCAGTGAGTATGGTGGTCTCGAGTAAGGATTGAATCTCATGTCCATGTGGAATGATCTTGGTGTTGGGGCTTTGAGATGTGGAGGGATCGCCAATGAACCGCCTACATTTCCAGGCTCGTTGGATTCATGCGTTAAATGAATATGTTTGGTATCTTCAGGAAGGTGAACGGTTTGAGCATGGTTGTAGGCACCGTATTGATGTTCTTCATTGGACTGGTGTACAACAGGTTTGATGTCTCCTGCTGAAGGCACGATGGCGGCATTGCATGACGAGGTAGTGGTGTTTTTCAGTGGTATTAGTGATTTATCTTCGTTTACTAAAGAAGAGGCAGAAACGCTGCCAGCATCTAAAATAAATAAATAAATAAATAATTATTTTGCTGAGGAATTTTATTTTCAAAAAGAAATATGGCGGACATGTTGGATAAACTGAAATTCTAAAATGGCTGCCACTTTTATTCCCTCACGAATGAGTACAAAACACTATAGTAAACATTATCAAACATAGCTGCCATTTTTATTCCCTTAGGAATGATTATAAACCACCTTAGTAATGATTACGAATCAGAAAAATGTCTGTTTTTCCCCCATTAGAAGGAAGAGGTTTCTCGAGTCCGGGATGATAAAAGTCCTCGTTCTACAGCAAATAAGAGTGAATGATATTGATATAGTCAATGGGAAAACCTTCTTAATAGAAACGGATAAACTTCCTGGACGATTCGCAACTTTTTAAGTACTTTTTGCACAATTTAAACAAAGGGCAAAAATTTGACTGTCATTTATACAATAAGTGCCAATTGTATGAACAAAATGGAAAAGAAAAATGGAAGTTAATAAGAGAAAAGATGTTAACAACACCTTAAAATATATATGAAGACTGCAGAGCTATCATTTAACATTAGTGTTTTAAATCGACGTTTACACTTATTTGAGAAACAAGTGCTTAAATTGACATCAATCTAAGTGTTCTTAGCACTTCAGACAAGTTCAACTATAGACTATTTGGACAGCTGTCACTATATTACAACAGCATGATCCTTTATATCCTTTTACAATACCATCAATTTGCACTAATTTTCGTATAGGAAGTTTTTAAAAACCAAGTGCTTCTTAAGGATTAATGATGATAATGTCAATTCGTTATCGTGGGAATATGACAAATATATGAAGTGAAAAACAATGATAAATCCTTACATTGATAGCACTACATCCTCTTGGTCCTAAATAAACGCTTATCTATCTATCTATCTATATATATATCCATTTTTCAGTTTAAAATCGAAACAAAAAAAACTATTTCTTTACACTAAATTCCTAAAACATTTAAAACCATTGTTCTATGGTAAGGATTAACTTGGAGGTTTTAGGACACACAGTCCTTAAGCAGAAGATATGACAAGAAGCAACTGTTAATGTAAATAAAACGACCGTGGATCACAAGGTTGTTCCGTCAAATACTCATGTGCTCCCTTCAATGGGTTTCACCAAATTAAATAAATATATATAAGTTTTTATTTTATTTGTGAGGATTAAATATCTGTCGATATAGTGTTGTTGTTTTTTGACTTGCAAGACGCAAAAGTTGGGAAATAAATACATGATTTTTTAATATATTAAGTGGCTTAAACCGTTAACTTTTGTTTTCAGGAAGAAAGATTTGAACAAAATGTACTGCACATTTCGTATTTCTCTTGCATGGCTCATCTCTGGGATTGCAGGTTCGATTCCTGGACTCGGGCATCACATGCGAGCAAAGTTTGTGTTCTTTAGTTTTCCTCGTTCCTGCCTTAGATCAACCTAGAGGTTATTTCAGGTTTCGATCTGTGAGTTAGCCATGCCCTGCATGACTTAGATCAGTCCAGAGGTTGTTTCAGGGTTCGATCTGTGAGTTAGGCGTGCCCTAACTTAGATCAACCCAGAAGTAGTTTCAGGGTTTGATAATATCGATTTCTGGTTTGCTTGGGTGAGAAAATTGTACATTTATAGAGGTTTCTTGTCACTCTATTTTCAGTGCTAATTTAGCTATGAGATATTAGAGAATTTCCTTACGATCTTTTATAACAAGTTCTGAAATTGGAAAGTACAAACTGATTAAAGAGGTGAAAAGAAATGAGGACATCTTCAAAAGCGAGCTGATCGTCTGTACTTGGGGAAAAGCAGAAGTATACAGACAGGTTGTTGAGTTATTCGCTTTTCATTTTTGTCAATTCTGAAGCGATTCACTTCCATTAACAATGTTGTCTATGAGTATAAAAAGCCAAAGTAAAACCGGACAGATTCTTCACCATTGGCTTCCTATATTCTTTTTTCCCTATTCATTAATACATCAAAATGAAAAGAGACTAAATGATGAGCACACATAGAATAGAACACAGAATCAATTAAATTCGCCACAGACAATCGCACGAAAAACAATACGACGACCTCAAAATTTCGAAACCCGTTAATTGCTTCAAAGCATTCGACGAAAAATATTGTATTTTGAAGTTTCTTGCAAGATAAGAAGCTTTGAGTAAACTTCAAACTTCTACCCTCAGATTGAGTCGTCCATTTTTTGCGCAGTCTCAAAGGTTGATATTTTCAATCGTTACTCCATCTGGAATGAAACTTAAGGATTTTTGATTAAAAAAAAAAATAGAAAAACAGACGAAATGTGGCGATAGATATGACTGATCGTTGTTGATTGTTAACAATAGATACTTAGTGCGGTGATAGCGAGCTCAGAATTAATAACGAAAATTACTTGTAAAATACAAGCAATGTTAAGAACAATTATGCTACCCGAATATGGCCAAAAAAATCAAAAGAAATGTTAAATTAATCTTAAATCTTAAAACTAATTCGAGATTATTGAAACTTTCTTTATAAATTCGTAATGGAATACCTTGCATATTTTTATTCTCATGAGATTTAAAATGACAAAAAAAATAAAGACAAAAAAACTCTGTTGACGTTCGCAAATCAGTGATTCGATTTAACGCACACAAAAAGCATTTTTTACACCAAAAGTGAAGTTTTTCCTAAGTTCTTTACACTCTAGACAGAGCCTATTATCGCCTAGTTTCAAAGATGTGCTATGATAGTCCCTCCAGGGAATAAACCTTAACTCGAAGCCCACTTTTTCCATGCTTTATTACAATTAACACTATTAGCTTCGCGCTCAAGCGTTACTTAAACTCGTAACCAACAAGTTGATATTACTTTTTAAAGTATCCCTTTTTTGACTTCAAACATCTATTTTGAAAATATTATGAACTCTTTCTGTGGGCTTTCACAGGATTGCTTTGTCATGGAGACCGAGCAAGCGCTATCGAATTCGCTTTTTTCAATACTTTAGTAAATGAAATTTCAGATGAAGTCAAGAAAATAATTGTTTAAAGAGATGAGTTACATCTAATAGGCTCTTATAAACATCCTTGACTTTGTAACTACCTACTTGAATGATAACTTTGCTCAAGGTTTAAAACCTTTGCTAGGATCATTCGTACACGATAAGATAATAAGTAAGTCATTCATCGCTAATCTTTCTCAATTCTAATCATTGCCATTGTTTTTCGAGGAACTACTCGGGCTCAAAAGATAATAAATCCAATTTGTTCTTTCGTCGCAGTCAGAGAAAAAGCCAGTGATGAGAAAGAATCAAAATTTATGTTAGACGGGAGGGTTAAACCCTAATTTAAACCCTAAACGGACATCGTTAACGAAAAGGAAAGAGAAAAAATCCCGTCGTAACCAAGTTCATTGCTGTAATAAGTTTCTTTTTTGATTTTTAATAGATAAAGACGACTAATTTAGTCTTGTAGTAACAGAAGTTTGAAATGCAGCTTTAAATAATATACGAGGACAGTTTTCTGGTACATTTAGCCAAAGTCATAAACACCTTTGAAAAGCGAACTGTTAATAAGAAATATTTTCATGTTCACATAAACAAGACAGATTTCTTGAAAATAATCAAAAATAAGATCCGGAAAAACCGGAAAAGACAATTGGAAAGATTATTGATAGGGTTGCAACACAAATTTGGACAGGAAAAAGTCACTTAGAAACTTTCATTTCAAATACAATGCAAAGGTTTTAAAACAAAAAAAAATTAGATTAAAGGGAAACATACTCACTTTTGCTAGTTTTCATTAAATACGATAAATAAGGCGGATTTTTAGTAGTACCCAAGGTTCCAAACTTTTTAAAATTCAGAAATTTTCGAATTTTTGGCAAAGTCTATGTATGACCTAAATTTAAGAAACGGTTCCCAAACATAAACACACACACACATTAAAAAAAACAACTAATAAACGAAGAATGCTAAAATGTTAAGTTTTTCTCATCTAGAATTCCAGGCAGCTTCCTTTTACCTTTGTTTGCAGAAAACTTTTTAATTAATACTTTTCTCTGTTCAGTGAAACTTCGCGCTTATTGTCGATATGTAAATTGACAGCATCTAGTCTCCTTTGCTTTTGAAAGGAAGAAAAGACCTTGTGTTTGTCGTTCATAACCTTGAAGTGTTTAGAACAATTACGTTTTCATTAACAACAGTCACCAGCGCATCAAAGCCACCAGAAAAAAGCGACAAAAATATCTCTAAGAATACTTTTGGTGTTTACGCGATGAGATTTTGAGTAATCCAAAATTTTTAACTCCAAAAATTCGAGCTAAATTACATGGACTACGCTACTAAAATATTAGTTCGGAATAAGCAAGTGAGATACCAATTTATTATTTTTTTGTGGAAACCGGTTTAAAAGAAGTTGTGATTTCTAATCTTTTCGATAAACCCTTTACGAATCCCTTACGAATAGAGATTTTTCGTAAAAAATTCAGTCGCGAAGTTTTAAGCTGAAAACTAGTTGAAAACAAGATGGGAACCTAATCAAATGTTAAAAAAATTGCGGATTTTTTTTTAATTCAGAAAAAAAAGTAAATAAAATAAATAAACCCATATCTTATAGCTTACCGTTTTCTGGTTTGGGGTTTATTGAAAGCTGGTCTTTGAGATTGTCAGCTCCATCTTCGCTATTACGATCCTCGTCATCGTCATTGAAATCGTCGTCATTCCCCGATTCGGTTCGTCGCCTGAGCAGAAATAGATCGAGGGTGAGAATGAAAAGTGTTAACTTCTTAAGGCGTTACTCGTTTTATTATAGTGTTTCTCGTGTCAAAACATACAGTTGTTTGAAAAAAAAACACAAGAGGAAAAGCTAACAATTATATATCTTTTTCTGTAATCTATATTTTTCAACCAGTTTTTTCTTTCTCTTCCAATGGGTATTATATTCTTTGTGGTCAAGACACGTATAAAATTTTCCAGGAAATTTTCTTCGCATAACATTAAAACTCGACAAAAGTGAACCATAAGTTAAATATCATTTTTTAACAGTATTTCTTGAGCTGCCAAAACGGATTAGAATAGATGTCAAATCAATTTTTGTTTTCACTTTGAAATTTCAGCGAATGAGAATGAAAACGTGAGGAAAACGCGAGCAGTTGCGTCGGCTTTATTCACCTTCTTTCCATTCTTCGTCGATGGCCTGCACCTTCCTCGCGAAATCCTTTAGCAAAAGGATTATTGTCGATCTTTAACTGTGTTATCTGTCAATGAAAGAACACTTCACTAAAACGCTTCGATTCTATTAAAACTAAAGGACAATTTCAAGCCCAAAGAATAATTTATCCACTTGAAATCACAAGAAGGACCTAACATTTTTATTAATATTCAAAGCTTTAAAATTCCCTCGCAAGAGGATCTACTTGATCTCAGAGAACGTGTGAAGCTATCGAAAAATAAAAATACACACACACATACAAAATATTCTTTGAAAATTTGTTGAAAATTTTTTATCTTGCTGCTTTTTAAAGAAAACGGAACCTCTCAGAGATTCAATACTAAAGACAAAAGCAATAAGTTTTTTAGTGTTATGAGAAGATGGTCAAAAGGGTTTTTTAAATGAACTGGATTTTAAGTTTTTTGGACCGAAAAAGCGCGAGTTTCTATCCTAAAATCTAAAGCATTGAAAAGTAAGATTCAATCAAAGAGATAGAACACGTAACAAATAGATGAATGAAATTGTTGTCGTTCCAAATGCAACGCTATTTTAACACCGTTTTCACAGAGGCATCAAATCAATAGACAAATCCACAGCTTTTTAAAAGCATTATTTCTCGAAACCTGAACTTCGTAAATAAGAGATAGAAAGAAAGGATTTTATCTTGGATAAAATTGGGGTCRATTTGTATGTTACTTGTTCTTTGTTTGCTGTTACAATACATGTTGAATTTGTGTTTAGGACCCGTAACCTCCCGTCATCGAATTGTTATCAATTTGCCCCAGCTGAGACTAAAATATATTGATTGTAAAAAAAATCTGTGGGGAATCTAGATTGGATTACTTTTATCATACAAAAGTCTGGTTTTTGTTTAGACGATCTTTATGAGACCCCTGAGGCGATGTTTAGTACGTACCTTTTCATTCTGATAAGCTGTTACGGCTATAAACGGAGTTTCTTCGAAGGTAAAGGTTTTGAAGGGTGAGTTAACGGGATACTTGTAGCCATCATCTCCTCGTACTATGTGTATTCTGGACTGATATTTGTGCATTGAGTTGAGGATTGTCTAAAGGAGAAAGCACAGAGATTTAATCCATTATAAAAGGCAAGACATTTCTAGCGAATGAAAGAGTCCTTACTTCCGATAGTCACGATAACACCGACAACAACACTCAAGTTACAAAGGCAAAAAACGYGAAACGACGAAAATAGAACATACTTACATAGCCGTGTTTATCGGCGATGTTATTTGTTAACTTCATCTTGTGAAATGATATGGTTTTCTGCATCCACTGCGCTCCTGTGCTCGGGGAATCAGGGTGAATGTAAAGCGGTTTCGCCAATTCGGGATCGGCCTTTCCAGCCACCATCCATCGACAGTTGTGAAATTTATATCGGCAGTCGTCGGCTGGAACGATATCGAGTAAAAAGAAATACTTTGCTCTAGGATCAAGGCCGGTGACTCTGATCTTGATAGGAGGAAACATTCGTCTGTAAATATATCAAAGAGAAAGAGAGTTAGTTGTTTCTGACTTGAAATTAACATGGTCGTTGAAATGAACAAGATCTGTAGTAAATAATCACACGTTTGGCGCGCTTGTTTAGACTAGACAGACGGTCGAGTCTCCTCAGTGATATTTGCATCAGTTTGAGACGTGAAGGCGTTTGAATCGACACACCGAGATGAGAGTTGCCCGTTACGTTGGCTCTACAACACGTTGATGATATAGATGACTGGTCGTGCGAACGTACCTGCCGGCCTTCGTTATAACCATCTCTGTTTTCTCTTTATAAAAACTCATCCAAAGATCTTTGTTTTCTAACGTAAGCTCTGCATTTTCCAGCTCGGATTCGTGTCCAGACATATGAATTTGTTGTGAAGAAGGATGAGGATTTGCGGCAATAGCTGTTGCTGGCCCAAAGTGAGATGGCTGCTTGGTTAGTTGTTGCGGATGGTACGGGGGATACATAGAATACGGCCCGTTTGAATTCAAATTGTTTGGCATCGAAGGATTGCTTCCTGGCATTCCTGGAATAAACTGTGAACATCCCTCTAGCAGAGAACTAACTCTAAAATCTCTCATTCTCGATGGATAGTAAGGATAGTAAGCCATTACTGTCCTCTCACGGTTATCACACGCTACTGACGAACTCACGTATTGTTGTTGGGTCCTTTCCACAGCTGCATTGGAACAAGCTAACATTTCACAAGAGCTAATGAGCACTCGACGCTGATTGGTCATGGGATTATCACCGACCAATCAGATCACGAGAAACACAAACTTGACATATGTAATTGACGTGCAATAGATTGACAAGGTGACATTTTGTGTTCTTTTTCTGAAAGAATTAGCACCTTTTTTATGTTTCTTGTCACTTTGCCTAATACTGGCCAGTAGATTTGAACGCCTCGTAAACCGGCCGATCTGTCAGTCAGTTTAGCATATATGATTCACTTCTTTACAGGAATATATCAACAACATTCATTTGAATGACAATCCAGATCGTGACGTAATTATTTAACCATGACGAAAGAAATGATTTGCATATTATAAACTTTTTCTATCAAGGATTTAGCTCAAACTTGCTTGCCCACTCGCGCCTTTCTCGTCAGTTTGGCGCCCTAGAGACACCAGAATGTGTTACTTGTGCCCTTACCCTYATGAGTTTTATAGTTTCAGCTTCCGCTGCTCTACCGTTATTTAAAAACATATCAAGCTAGGAATCTAGTTGTTTTGATTCATGTGAATCTACCGAAAGGAACACAGATGTTAGTTTGACGATGAAGGAAAAATCCGATGCGCTCGTGTGGGAGGGTTCGCGGTCAGTTGGAAAAGACAAAGCGGTTTTGTTTTGGCTCAATTTTTGGAGCTTGTTTGGTTGCCTGGAAAGCCTAGTCTGGATTTATTAACATCCTGCTATATATATTAGGCAAAAGTGAAGATTTTGTAAAGTATAGAATTAATATCATAGTAAGCATTCATCCGATACAAATGTTTGGATATTTTCCCCATAAAAATTAKATTTTTGTCCTATTTTTGAGTATGATTTTTTTCCAGTATTTTTTTTACAGCTATGATTATGTTTGCAACTGGAAAATGCCCCAAGGAAGGCAATGGCGTCCGAAAACGGGACTGTCCGTGTAATATTACAAACACTTGGCTATTATTATCAATCCTTGTATCAACAAAATACTGTGAAACATTCGAGATTGACTTGCACTGAATTTAGGAATGGTTGATATGATTGATATGATTGATAGGTGTGTGCTATGACAGCTGATCGTAATGTCAACTCTCATGTGCCCGGTCCATACTAGAACCGTCACATTTGAGGGGATAATTAGAAATTGGATTCAAAAAACAAACGCATCTCGACTTTTCTGAATTAATCTTTTGTGTAGTTTCTTAGCTTCAAATATAATGATACTCGAGGGGAGAAAATGGCAAGAATATCAGCACATGAACCACTTCCTGGCAAAGAAATCCACTGGGATAATTTACAAACTAAGGTTTTATGGTAAAAATTTTTCCCGCAATTTGATTGAGGAAAAAAATATATTTGAAGGTAGAATCAATGTATATCAGAATAGAGTCATTCGTGAGTAGTTTAAGGTTTTAAGTCGTGTGTTTATAAAAAAGGTTATTAGTACGAATGAGGCTTAAGCCTGGTTCACATATGATCGCAGACGATCGCAGACGATCGCAGAGGATCGCTGGCGATCGAGTGCGATTATATGTGAACAGCTCTGCGATCGTCTGCGATCACGATCGCAGACGATCGCAGGAATAGAATCGGGTTCTATTCCTGCGATCGGTTGCGATCGTTTGCGATTATATGTGAACAGAATTCTGCGACCGTGAGATTGGAAGGTGTCCCACAATGCTCAGTTTTCCATAAAACACGTGTATATTTTTGATTTTCACAAGCGAAAAAGCATTTCTTTTTAGTCTTTTTTCAGATATAACTGGTTTAAAAGTATCGACACACGGTTATATATGCTAATTTACGTTTGTAAGCCATATAGGCAAGTAAACAACTGTCGTTTGGGGGTATATTTTAAGATTGCACGTCCTGTTCTTCATAGTGATGACTCCCCTGATGAAGTATTGACGATCATAAAGTCGAATGTTTCTTTTTTGATTTGCCAGCGATTATTTTCTTAAGTCTATGTTGAATCTGCATCGTACTTTGTTTTACTGCTGAATAATAATTCGCGGACTCAGGTGTCAACAAACCGCCGGCGATCGGCTGCGATCATATGTGAACAGTTCGATTTGAGATCCTCGGTTGAGTGGACTCTGCGATCGAGCGATCGAGAGCGATCGTCTGCGATCGTCTGCGATCATATGTGAACCAGGCTTTATAAAGCTTGAAAAGCCTCTTGACCTGTGGTCCGTGTTGATTTGCCACGCGATTGGTTTCCTACCAAACATTTCTGTGGATCTTAAAAGAAATTAATATCCTTGTCAGTGCATTTTAAAAGAGTTCTCTGATACAACTAGGACAATAGCTAGAAAGCTCTGCAATTGGCTTCTCAAAGACCAGGAAATTTGACTGTGACACAAGCGAAACTCTCACTTAGTCATACGTTCGCAATAAGAAAGAAAAGATCACTTTTGTAGTGTTTAATTTCCCTTGAGACAAATATATCCGCACCCAATGATTCCTTAATCGCCATGCATTCAAGCACTTGCTTGCTAACTCTTGTCTCTTCTTACCAATTCGTTCCTCTCGACCTTTATGACTTTTTTTACGCATTAATAAATTTAAGTATTACTAAAGCTATTCAATGCATTTAGGAATACAAGTTTAAGGATTCAAACAATTTGAATAACCCTTGAAATTCGAAGGTTTAACGACTTACTTGAGCTTCTAATGAGAGGATTAATCTAACTCACTGATACGAATTCACGAAAAACAACTTAATCCTCAAACACTGGGAATCTACAGATGGATGATTATAGTCGAAGATCTGATCACTGTTTCGGACAACTGCACCTGTTTCAAGACTCATAAGTAAGACCTTCACAAGGTGTTAGCGAAGTGTGATGTACGCAAACAGTTGAATAGAACATTATTATAATATTCTTTTAGAGCTATTTTCGAAGCTTTCCAAGTTACACGTGCCGAAATTGAAACAGTGGAATCGCGGTTCGTTTAGCAACTCGCTAACCTTGCGCCTTAAAGATCCAAAAATGGAAGTATAGGACATATAGTCTCTAAAATGCAAAGTTGACAATATATCTCTTAAAGATTTTAAACCTTGGTTAAAATCGAGCAGCATGAGAATAACAAAAACGCATGTTTTTGAATATTACCGCTCGTTATTTTTTCACCTTTTTGATTCCTTTCTTTTTTCTCTCTTCTTTTTCTTCTTCTTCTTTTTTTTCAGTCTTTTTGTTGTTGTTTTTTTTTTTTCTCAACAGGAATTAATTACAAATTCCCGTGGAATAAAAATTATTTTGACACTTGATAAATGTTTGATATTTTCTACTCCTAACTACATAACAGTGTTCGCTTTCATTCCTCTACCGACATGGGGTCGTATTCACACCACCAGAAGTTAAAATTAATCTTTAAAACTGCTTCAAATCTGGTAAATATTCGCACGTTTCCGTCACAGAACTTTTCATCATCATGGCGCGTGCTTCCTTGGAATCCTAGGATATAAAATATAAGATAAAGCAGTTGAAAATTCATTGATTTAAAGCTATAAACACAGCAGTTATGATCTTATTATGGATTTCCAATTTGAAAGCGCTCTTTAGATGCCATTATCCCATAAACTCGAGCCAAATATCAACAACATTAGCCATGTGTATATATTCAAAATTATGACATTTCGGAATCAAAAGTCAACCAAAAACACAAYATTTATTAAAAGTAATTCACTCTAAGTTGACATTCGAAATATATGATGATGAACCTCAAGTTTACACGAGGTTTTGTGCTGTTTTATTCAGGTATTTCAATATTTCATACCTGAAGGGTCCCGTGAACAATAGTCGATATTTCGGACGATGGGCTGGCTATTCTTCACCAATAGGCAGGTGGTGGAAAAAAACATGTGACTCTCTGACATGAAAATGGAAACATCTAGAAGAGCTAGGTTAGGAATTAGTACAAAAAGGCAAGTGTTTTTCGCACTCTTTTGTGAAAGCAGTACGTCTGATAGACAATCTGATGTTCTGTCAAGATTTGGAAGGTTCTGACGATCAGTGAATAATGAATGTTGAAAACTAGCTTTTGTTTGCGAATTATTGGTAAATTACATCCTTCTGTGATGAAAAATAAAAAATAAGACCTGCTTTAAAGAATTTTAACAAACAATTTGAAACCCAAGCATAAAATAGTCTATTTTTAAAGAGCGAAATAAAAAGTAAAAAATAAAAAAAACTAGAAAAATTAAGAAATTCGAAATAACAAATGCTTTAATGAGTGATGGAAAATATAGCCTGATTAAACTTAGCTAATGGATTGAAGAGTTTTATATTGCTTGTTCGTTTACAGTCAATAAAAGGTAAAACATAAAGTGATTTCCATCAAGTGAGTGTCGTGGTCCCAATACTAGTTCTTTGGGAACATCCATATTTTCGCTCGTAATTATTGTCGTCATGGTGGGAAAAGGACCAGAATTCTATCGCCTTAGGTGAAATAGAGGTGATATTTGTGTGTAGGAAGCGTTTAAGATGTGTAAATACTCTCATAGCACGACCTTGTGAGTTTTTTTCTTTTTCTTTTATGCTCGTGTCGGGTTTTGTTATGACCGCTTGCCGACAAAAAGTGATTTTTTCCTCCTTTCTAAGACAAAAGACTTGATTATTGTCTCGGTAAAATTTCCTGTAAATTTCCTCGATAGTATTGGCTTATAAGCAGAATATTTGTTGGTGGTATCTGTTGTTTTTCCTTGTTCCTCTTTGTTTAATCATTGCTTAATGATCGTTTCCCCAAGAAGAAATCAACGTCGTTCTTTACAAGACCCGCTAAAAACGCCACTATGCAAAAACTTATTCACTTCAACAGACAGTTACAAATCATAATCCATGAACTCTGGGTCTCATACTCTGCTTCAATTTTAAAAGTCTTTGGACACACAAATAGAAGAAAAGTTCCAATAGTTACTGCCCGAAAAAAAAAATACGCCGAATCCACACAAGTCAAAAAAACAAAATCGAGTTTTAGTTAAAAATCTTTCACCCTTCTTGCATTGAATCCCAAACAAATAAGTCTGATTAGAGTGTGAGTTTATCACTCCTAACACAGCTCTTATGTCATTGAAATCTTTGCATGTTTTTTCTCCTTCATCGCTTCGAGCTGATAACATGCGAGAGTCTGGGAACGTTACTGGCCCGGACTTAAACGCCAAAGCTGTTGGAACTCTCTTCTCGACTTCACTAAATAGACTATTGTCTGTACTGTCAACACCAAAACGTCAATAGCAACTCACACATTGATTTTAAGATACAAAAATTGACAAGTATAAATTGATAAGCTAAAATTTCTTCAATTTTTTCTTGGCGGAACTTTTACTGTTAGATTACATAGCTATTAAGACTAATAATGCTGAAAAAGGGGCTTAATTTACTAACAAATAATGAAATTAGCTGAAATTTCTAGATAGACTTTGGAAGATTTTTTCGTCAGTTTACGCAATGTGAAGTTTTCAAGGAAAAATGTTTTCAACAATTCTTATACGCCCACACATAACTTCTGGTAGTAATCCCACATGGAACAATGAACAAAATATTCAAGGAATGCATCTCTCTGACAACGTGTTGGTCAGAACTCGACTATATCTTAAATTTGATCTATATTGAAGTTAAACAATTTGTAAGGAATAGGATTTGTTTGGGATTAATCATCCTTTCAATAGCTCTTTGGCTGGTTTCTTTTGGCTAACAGAAACGCTCAAAAAATGTTTCAAAAA